TGCCTGACACCATAGGCCCCTGCACACAGAGGCCAGCAAGCGCATGGGTGCTGGGATGCATCCAGCCATGTGGGACCTTGGCGAGTTAGCGGGCGGCGGGTTGAAGAGGATGGCTGCCATCTCCGGGGCATGGCACACGTGCCCACAGAGAGGGCTCTGAGTGCCGACTCTGGCACGCGTGCCATAGGTTCGCCATCACTGTCCCAGTAGATGGGTGAACTGTCTTTCTAAAACAGCTTCATGGGAATCTTTTTCTTTTTTTTAATCAGGTGAAATTGACAAGACTCTTTGTCAGTGTCTTCTTCTACCACAAGTGATAGGTAGAAGGAAAAAAAATTGGGGTTTAATTCGGTGTCCCCCTCTTCCTATCAGTCCGTTGCTGAGTGCATTGGATAGGAAGGTGCTTTCTTTGTACAACAGAGCTGGAAGGGACCTTGGAGGTCTTCCAGTCCAGAAGTCCCCAACCTTTTGGGCACCAGGGACCGGTTCCATGGAGAAAGGTTTTTCCATAGACTGGAGAGTGTGTAGTTTTGTGTGCTGCCTGCATCCCATGGATGGAGCTTTGCTTGTTTGTGTGGACCGGTTGTTGGCATGCTGTGGCCTGGTACTGGTCCATGGACCGGGGGTTGGGGACCCCTGTTCTAGTCCAACCCCCTGCTCAAGCAGGAGACCCTATACTAATGGTGGAGAACCTATGGCACGGGTGCCAGAGGCAGCACTCAGAGCCCTCTCTGTGACCACGCACACTGTCGCCCCAGTCCTAATCCTTCAGCTGGGTTTTATAAAACTTTTTCGCTTTAGGCCTCCGCCGTGTGCGAAAAAAAAAAAAAAAAGGTTCAATCAGTCAATTTCAACTTCTCATGGGAAAAAAAAAAGATCTTGCAAAGTTGGAATTGATTGATTGAACTTTTTAGTCCCACCGAGTCTGCTGTTACCACCGCAGCCACACCAATGGGCCACACCCAGCCAATGGGCCACACTCACCCGGCACCCAACGATGCATAAGTGGGTTTTGAGTTACAGTTTGGGCATTCGGTCTCTAAAAGGTTCGCCATCACAGCCGTATACCATTTCAGACAAGTGGCTGTCCAGTCTCTTCTTAAAAACCTCCAGTGATAGAACACCCACAACTTCTGAAGGCAATCCGTTCCACTGGTTAATTGTTCTCACTATTAGGAAGTTTCTCCTTAATTCCAGGTTGCATCTGTCCTTGATTAATTTCCATCCATTGTTTCCTGTCCTGCCCTCCGGTGTTTTGGAAAATAAGTTGACCTCCTCTTCTTTGTGGCAGCCCCTCAAATACTAGAATACTGCTATCATGTTACCCCGGTCCTTCTTTTCTCTAGACTGGGCATAACCAGTTCCTGCAACTGTTCTTCATGTTTTAGTCTCCAGGCCTTTAATCGTTTTAGTTGCTCTTCTTTGAACTTTTTCCAAAGTCTCAACATCTTTTTTGTTATGTAGTGACCAAAACTGGATGCAATATTGCAGCTGTAGTCTTACTAAGATTTTATAAAGCAGTACTAATACTTCATGTGATTTTGATTCTATGCCTCTGTTTATACAACAAAGGATTATATTAGCTTTTTTGGCTGCTGCCGCACACTGCTGGCTCATAGTCAAATGATCGTCCACTAGGACTCCAAGGTCTCTCTCACAGTTACTGTCTTTGAGCCAGGTTTCTCCTGGCTCAAAGACAGTTTTACACTTAGGCAGTACTTGATTTTACACTTTACACATGGTTTTACACTTAGGCAGTACTTGAAACTGCCTAAGTGTAAAACCATGCTTTTACAAGATACAACGTGCAAAATACAAAATACAAAGTAGAGGTAATGTTTGGGAAATGACACGTCTGCAAGAAAACAATCAAGTCCACAGAGCACCAAGGACTCTTCAAAAGAAGGCTGGTGCAAAGATTTATCAAGAGAGACAACATATAGAGGTAGATAGTCCTCAACCTATGACTGTAATTAAGCCTGGAGTTATGGTTAAGTAATGCTGGTTGTTAAATGTGTCAGCATATGACTGCCCCTGACTTTTACAATATTTTTTTGAGGTGGTCATAAAGTGAATCCATTGTCTCAAATGGGCATTTTTTTTTTTTTACCTCAAGCCTGAAGTAGATACCTTTTTCTGGCAAAAAACAAAAAAAACCACACATAAATTTCGGACCCATGACTGGGAAGAACACCTGACTTTTCTTAAATTACAGTTGAGCAAAGTGAAATGTCAACACTAAACCAGAAAGAGCATTAACTTTTCATACTTATTTTCAGCTTCTGTATTAGCCATTTCTTCCAGCGAGGAATTCCTTTGTTCCTTTGGTTTTTAATAAAAACCCAGACAAGATCACCAACATTGTCTGGTGTTTTTTAAAAAAATACCTAATTTATGCTTAAATACAATTTCAGCACTAACCTGTTCCAAGTGAATGATCAAAAATACTGCTGGTTCCCCCCCATCACCACTTCTGGCCTTAGAATTAGTTATTTCTGCTTGTCATTACTTCTTGTCAACTAATTAAAAGGCAGCTAATGACCAGAGAAAGTACCAGGAAATGACTAATTAAAGAAAGCAAATGAGAATCTCAATTAAATATTTTAATCAAGGAAGGGGGGATGGTAGAGGATAATTCTTAATTACATGGTAGAAAGGCAGAAATAGGAAGACCACTTCTGAATAAATGTACATTAACGTTACAGAACTGCTAAAGGGACGATATTCCACACTTTTAATTGTAATTCCATCTCAGAGTGGAGAAACAGTGTCCCTGATATGGAAAAAAATGGTATTAAGCAAGAATCACTCACGGATTAGCTATTTTCCCATGGCTGATTAAACTGAAGAGCCTAGAACAGCCCATTTTTGGTGTCAAAGGCTAATTTTTTGTCAGCGAAGAAGAACACTACCTAATGTGTGTTCTTTAAGTTACAGTAACTAACCACATAAATTTTAAAATAATGCTGTGGGCTTCCTTTTAAAAAACAAAAAACAAAGATGGAATATTAAAATAAGCAGACTTTCAGTGAAGTAATCTTCAAAGCTCCACTATCCTGTTTTCTGAGTTTATTAAATGTTTCCCTTTGCGGTGAGAATCAACAGAGTTTCGTTGGCTAATGCAAAGGACTAAAATTATATGGCAGGCAGTTTAAGGCCTGTTTTGATATAAACACAGGAGCTAAAGCAGAAAGCTTGCATTCCAGCACTAAAAATAAGTCTGACCGCTCACAATAGACATGCCATATTTTCATCTATTCCATCATGTCAGTTCCTGAGTGGGAATTTAGGATTAAAATGCTTCTTTTCTCAGGGCCTGCTCAGAGCATCCAAGGGCTACTGGACTGCTACAAACTGGTGAGATAGTCTGGGAACGAATCTCCAGGTTTAGATCATGAAAAGATCTGGGCGAGATGAGACAAAAAGTTGATCAAATCCTGCGGCCAAACTGAACAATTGTTCCTGCAAAGTATTTGTTCCCATAAATGGAAAGCAATAGAATGATCCTTCCCATCATTTCCTTCTGGTAATTGGGATTAAGTAGTCTGCGTCATGAACAGAGAGGTTTTATTTGGTCAAGAAGCCACTGACTTTTTCCCTCTCCTACTTTGGAACAGACTCTGTGGCAGAACTAAATTTCCCCTCCAGATGTAACTACAGGTAATCCTCGACTTACAACAGTTCATTTAGTGACCTTCCAAAGTTACAAACGGCACTGAAAGAAGTGACTTTTGACCATTTTTCACACTTACAATTTTTGCAGCATCCTTATGGGGGGGATCACGAGATCAAAATTTGGACACTTGGCAACTGACTCATATTTATGACCGTCGCAGTGTCCCGGGGTCATGGGGTTACCTTTTAGGACAATGGTTCTCAACCTGTGGGTCGGGACCCCATTTGGGGTCGAACGACCATTTCACGGGGGTCACCAAACGAGGCTGTCCGCCATTTTTTTCCCCTTTTCTTTGGCCACGCCCCTGGCACCTGGTGATGTATAAGTGGTTGGGGGTCACCACAACATGGGGAACTGTATTATGGGGTCGCGGCATTAGAAAGGTTGAGAACCACTGTTTTAGGACCTTCTTACAAGCAAAGTCAATGGGGGAGCCAGATTCATTTAACAACTGTGTGACTAACTTAACAACTGCAGTGATTCACTTAAGAACGGTGGCAAGAAAGGTTGTAAAATGGGGCAAAACTCACTTAACAATGTCTCACTTAAACAACAGAAATTTGGGGCTCAGTTGTGGTTGTTAAGTCAAGGACTACCTGTAGATCTTTTTAGCACAATTGCAACTAGACAGGTTTAGGCTGGGAAAAACTGGTATGCTGCTGCTGGACTTGGGAGAATCCATTCACCTTACAAAATAATTACACTGTCATGGGAATAAAATCCCACTGAACTCAACGGAATATGTCTGAAAATTCAACACGGCCAGGAATCTTGTTCATAGCAAGTTCGCCAACTTTTATCAGCTAGGCTTGCATAGCGCACTTAACTTGGTTGTTATATTAGCCCGTTTTCTGGGTGTGGGTTTAACTACCCATGAAGCTACCCACCCCATCTAACCACCCTTAGCATTAATCAAGCCTTGTCGAAATGCAGCGGCAGGGTCTTTTAACTGACCTGCTCAAACGTCTCGTGCGAACCCAGCCACCGTGGGAAGAACCCAAAGCCTGTTAAAGGCCCCTTGTACAAAGAACGGGCCACTCGCCAAACTACGAGCCAATTTCGCTTCTTCATTCTCCCTCCACTCACATCGTGGGATAGAGGGGTGGCGGAACCGACAAAGGCCAGCATCATGGCGCGGAACCAGAACAACAACAACAACAACAACAAAAAAAAAAGATGACGCATTCAGACGACCGGTTTTTATTCCGGCTTAATCCATGGGCTGGAAAAGAAGCGGCGGGCGGGCGCACGGCGAGGGCGGGTCTTTGAACTCCGTTCAAACATTCAAACGCTCCCTTCCCTCCCCCCCCCCTCCCTCCGGACGTCCGCAGCCCAAGAGGTTATATAGCCGCGGGACGGTGCAGCGGGCAAGCCCAGTTGCTTCCCGGGCATCGGAGGGCGCAAAAGAGAAGCAGCGGACCAATTCAAGCAGGGTCTCCGCTGCTGTAGCATCTCCGTGTCCCGGGTCTGTTTGCCTGCCCGGCCGCCCGCCCGCCCGACGGAGAAGTTGCGACTTTGGCTGACTTTGGCGCTCGAAGTGGCGCCGGGGATGAATGGCGTGCGGGTGGCCATGCTGGGCAGCGAAGGGACGGGCAAATCCGGTAAGGCGTTAAAGAAGGCGGCTTTCGGCGTGGCGCTTCTGGCGGGCGGGCGGGGGGCGGGTTTGCTGGCTTCCGAAGGGAATCGTCCGCTCACACGTACACGCGCGATTGCGGGATCACACGCCCTGAGCACAATTCTGAACATGAGGAGGTGGTGAAAAATAACAGAGCTGGAAGGGACCATGGAGGACTTGTAGTCCAACCCTCTGCTCAGGCAGGAAGTCCTACCAGGGGTAGGTACCCTTGGCTTTTTTTTAATCACTCATGGACTTCAACTCCCAGAATTCCTGAGCCACCCATGCTGGCTCAGGAATTCTGGGAGTTGAAGTCGAGGAGTCATGAAAGAGCCAAGGTTGCCTACCCCTGCTCCACACCATTTGAGACCAAAGGGTTGTCCAATCTCTTCTTAAAAACCTCCAGTGTTGGAGCATTCAACAACTTCTGGTGGCAGGTCGTTCCTCTGATTAAATGTTCTAACTGTTAGGAAATTTCTCCTCAGTTCTAGGTTGCCTCTCTCCTTGATTAGCTTCCATCCATTGCTTCTTGGAGAATAGGTTGCCCCCCCTCTTCTTTGTGGCAACCTCTTTAGTCTGCTTTGAGTTGGGCTTCTCTCCACTCCTGCAAAAATCCGCTTGACCACTAGATGAAATTCACTGAAATTCTCTGGTTGGCTGTACCTGATGTAGCAGCCCAGATAGAGTAGCACATCTTCCTGATGTCTGCATGGAGACTTTTCTTAGCAAGCTTATTGAAATTCTTTGCAGGCCCTAGTTTTGGAGTGGATTTTCTCACTCCCCAGGCCTATGGTTTCCTAGTGGTCTCCCATCCATCCAAGTACTAACCAGTTGAGCATGTTTTTTGGAGACCACCTCAATCAACTGCATGCTGACCAACTCCACTGGCACCTGATGGCAACAAGCCATCCCAAAATTTGGCAAATGTCTTGCTGCTGTTTGCTATTACCCTTCTTTTATTTTTTTTTCATTCAGTTGTGTCCAATTCTCAGAGACTGCCTGGACAAGTCCCTGCAGTTTTTTTGGCAAGTATTTTTTCAGAAGTGATTTGCCATTGCCTCCTTCCTAGGGCTGAGATAGAGGAACTGGCTCAAGATTACTCAGCTGATTTCATGCCCAAGGTGGAACTATATACGGTAGAATAGAGCTGGAAGGGACCTTGGAGGTCTTCTAGTCCAGCCCCCCCCCTGCTTAAGCAGAACCTACACCATCTCAGACAGGTGATTGTCTAGTCTTTTCTTAAAGATCTCAAGTGATGGGATGGCCACCATTTCTGGGGGTAAGCTGATTGTCCTCACTGTCAGGAAGTTTTTCCTTACTTCCAGGTTGCTTCTCTCTTTGATCATTTTCCAACCATTGTTTCTTGTTCTGCCCTCTGGTGTTCTGGTGAATAACGTGACCCCCTCTTCTTTGTGGCAGCCCCTCAAATACTGGACTACTGCTACCATCTCTCCCCTATTTCTTATTTTCTTTAGATTAGCCAATCCCAAGTCCCACAACCGTTCTTTGTATGTTTTAGTCTCCAGGCCTTTGATCATCTTAGTTTCTGTTCTCTGAATTTTTCTAAACACTCAACATCTTTTTTGTGATATGGTGACCAAAACTGGCTGCATTATTCCAGGTGTGCTCTTACTAGGGCTTTGTAAAGCAATACTAGTACTTCACGTGCCTGACCCCTTAACCTTGCCATCTAACTGGTTCTCAGCCACTGATTGATTACCTGTTGCAAATTTATTTTCCAACCTTTGAAATACATTCAGCTGATGCAGCAAAAGATATTTTGATAATAAGCTGATATCATTTTTTAAAAATAACTTTTTTGAGTTGCAGATTGTTCAGTTTATTAAATTAGAATGGAATCCCACCCTTAAGTTGACATTTTATTGGAAAATAAATGACTTGTAGTAATAGTCTTGGTATTTCCATTATCTCAGTCCATAATTCCACTAACCTACTGATAGAAGCAATGAAAAATAGTTTAGAATCAGTGATTTAAATTTCCATCAACAAATCTGGTGCAAAACTACTTTTTGCCATGGCAAGTGTAGGTTGAGAATATCTTATTAAAGATCACATTGTAAGTTATGGTGAAAGAAAAAAGAGACTGGACAGTCATTTGCCTGAAATGGTATAGGTTTCCTTCCTGAACAGGGGGTTGGACTAGATGACCTCCAAGGTTCCTTCCAACTTTATTATTATTATTAAAAACCATCCCAATTGTGTATAATGTTTGGCTTATCACAATGTACATAGCTATAGATTATGTTGTGATAAGTAAATGAGATTATTATTAGTTATTTAACAAAATGTGGTTAAAATCCAGGATCATTTTTAGGATTTAATTCTAAATTTATAAATCCATTGGGATTCATACTCATGCTAAACCAGAATGATGTGTCTTTGGTGTTGGACTTAGCAAAATATATGAACAAGCCAATGTGTTTTGTGCAACCTGGTTTAAGTCATAATCCATGTGCAGTGAACCTTGATGGTCTGTTTGATAATGGTTAGAATAAATTATGGCTTAGAGCAAAACATAAATCCTGTAACAGCCTTCCTTCTAATTTTAGGTTTTATCTCTAAGGTTCTAATTTTGGATGAAATGCAATTCTAGTCTAGTGTAGATTGCATAAACCCAAGGCATAATTTGAAGATACATGATGCAACAATCATATCTGAAATCTGATCCAGGTGAAAGATTGCCTAGGTGTTCTTGCATCAGGGAAGATAAGCAAGAGAGAGAGATAATCTCAAAAAACAGATGTTCAGCTGGGCATTTCCAATAATGGAAAAAATATAATTCCAGATAGCTATCTTTTTCTGCTTTTCCATCCTTCTTCCCAGTTGTTTCTATGCAAAATTAGATTAGCAATGGGGCTTCAATAGCCATCTCCACACAACCTGTTTGATCATGCAGGGTTGTTAATACAGCTGTGCAGATGCTTTTTCTTAACCACTTTCAGTGGCTGTCCTAAGGCATATTGGACTGTGTGAACATGGAGTAAATGCCATTTCTGCTTGGAATTTGAAACGCGTTTGCCTTCTGGTTGGTGTGGTAGCAGCATCTCATTTGCCCCTCGCAATAGGAGTTGAAGAACAGCTTGCAATAGATCAGGGGTCTTCAAACTTGGCAACTTTAAGACTTGTGGACTTCAACTCCCAGAATTCCTCAGATAGCCCTGGCTGGCTATAGATATAGTATGGAAGACTTACAACTTACAACCACAATTGGGACAGAACATTTGTTGCTAAGCTATGTAGTTCTTAAAAGATTTGTGCCCAGTTTTGTGACCTTATCTGCCCCCCCCCCCCCAAAAAAAAAGTCTTCAAAACTTGAGTTAGCAGTTATCTTTGATTGTTACTTGGCTTTATGTCATGGTCAATTTTTCCATGTCTCTTTGCTGCCATCTAGTGATTATGTATATTATTGCAGTCTAGTTTGGGCAGCCTTAATATGCTTGAATCAATCACGTAAAATAATAGCTGAATACAGTGTCTGAAGCCAGGCGCTGCTCCTGTATGGTAGTCTATTTAATTAATTACTTTATTGATTAGCCCATGGGCCATATCAAGGTGCAGAGTTCCAAACCCAGGTTATATTAAAAGGCAGTAAAACAATTAAAAATGGAATTGGTTAAAATACAATTTAAAATAAAATAGAAATAAAATACAATTTAAAATGAAATTAGAATCAAATACAGCAATTTAACATGTAGATAGATTTGTTGTTAGTTGCGAAGTCGTGTCCGACCCATTGCGACCCCATGGACAACTGTCCTTTACCATCTTCTGGAGTCCATTTAAATTCACACCCCATGGACAACTGTCCTCTACCATCTTCTGGAGTCCATTTAAATTCACACCTACTGCTTCAGTGACTCCATCCAGCCACCTCATTCTCTGTCGTCCCCTTCTTCTATTGCCCTCAATCTTTCCCAGCATTAGGCTCTTCTCCAATGAGTCCTTCCTTCTCATTAAGTGGCCAAAGTGTTTTAGTTTCAACTTCAGGGTCTGGCCTTCTAAATAGCAGTCAGAGTTGATCTCCTCTAAAACTGACTGGTTTGATCGCCTTGCAGTCCAGGGGACTCGCAGGAGTCTTCTCCAGCACCATGGTTCAAAGGCCTCAATTCTTTGGCCCACAGCCTTTCTTATGGTCGAACTCTCACAGCCATATGTAGATAGATAAAATATGATAAAATTATATTTCACCATCACTCCTACAATCTACCCCAGTCAGTCTCACTTATGCCGATCTCAGCCGAACCATTTTGCTCAGGTACTGTGCTGTGTTAAATGTAATTTTCAAATATAAGGTAAGTTATTTTGATATGGGGATCCCAATGGTAGTCTATTTAGAAATTCGCCCACAAGGTAGGAATTATCACAGTCACATAAATACACCTTAACTCTCTTCATTTCTCCATCTCTGGCGCCAGCAGTTGATTTCTGGTTTACATCTTGGGACCTAAATAAGGCTTGCACTATTGGCCAATTAAATTGGGAAACTAGAACAAATATACAATTTCCAGAGCTGACGCAAAGTAGTGGTAGAAAGTACTGCTTGTCTGCTATATATAGGCTTGTAGCTTAACTCATAATCCAGTTATTAGCTGGATATGCCTGAATGCAAAATAATAATAATAATGCTAAAATCCAGAGATATTTTCTTTGGAAAATCATGCATTCAAAGCATCACTCACATGTCTCCTTTACTTCATCTTTTGCAGCCCTTACGGTGCGCTTTCTGACAAAGCGTTTCATTGGAGAATATGCCTCTGATTCTGGTAAGTTTACACTAACTTTGAATCTGCCTTGCATTTTATTTATACTCAAATGATTCAGACGTTAGTGGTGGTAAGGGAAGGGATTTTATAAAATGAGGAAACAGGAGATATAGTAAACGTTCTGAGCTCTGTACTTTAAGGAAAAATACAAAGATATGCTACAGCTTTCTTTTAAAACTGAAGACTAACATCATTTCCTGGCTAAGTATCAGATTGAGACAGGGAAGAGGTAGCGATGGATTGATTCATCTTTGTTGTATTGTTTTGGGGAGATATAAATGATGGCTTTTCTAGCCGGCCTGTTTATTTCTCTCTTTTTTTCCCCTCACAGAATGCATTTATACAAAACATTTGTGTCTGGATGGAAAGCAAATTAACTTGGAAATATATGATCCTTGTTCCCAAGTAAGTTGGAAAACTAGACAGTGAACACACTATCATAAACACACCTTCCTCCTTCTCCTTTCCCTACGCACCCTGTGGGTGCGGTGGGCTGGGCTGAGAAAAGGTGACTGGCCCAAAGTCATCCAGCCAGCTTTCATGCCTAAGGCAGGATTAGAACTCACAGTCTCACTGTGAATGGCTCAAAGTCAGGCAGCTGACTTTCATGCCTAAGGATGGACTAGAAGTCACGTTCTCCTGGCGATTGCTCCAAAGTCATCCAGATGGCCTTCATGCCCTAAGGTGGGACTAGAACTCACTATCGCCTGGTGATTGGCGCAAGGTTTTCCAATTGGCTTTTGTGCCTAGGAAGGGACTAGAACTCACTGTCGCCTGGTGATCGGCCCAAAGTCATCTCGCCGGCTTTCATGCCTAAAGCAGGACTAGTACTGAATAGCAGAAGGAATTCACTGCCACAGGTTGCTGAGAAGGGGACACCAAACAACCAGAGATGATGAATTGTTTTATTGGGTTATAAAAGAATTAGGCCTGCTCCCGAGACCAGTTATACTTCAAAGTGCCTTTAAGATGTTTTTTGACTCTCATATGACAGTATCTTGAATGATAGTTTGATTTAGCCAGGCAGAGAATTCACATAAATTGCAGCTTAAAAAAAAAAAAACAGATTGTGTAATTCAGTTCATGCACAGATTGCATTGTTTTCTTCGCTTTCAGACAATGCCAGTTGGAGAATTTGTTTACAGCTGATAGGGGCTCTTCACTTAGTTGGTTATCTAAATAATTTTGGTCTACTTACCATCTCTCAGTGTAAATCTATTTTACTTGGTCCTGGTGGGGAAGAAAACAAATAGAGCCGATCAAACCATGCATGCTAACTGCTTTATAAAAAGCCTTGGAATAAAACTTCTCATCTGAAGAAAAAAGAAGTTCCAACGTAATTGTATAGGGCAGTGGTGGCAAACCTATGGCACGCGTGCCAGAGGCAGCACTCAGAGCCCTCTCTGTGGGCACACGCGCTGTTGCCCCGGCTCTGCCACCCCCCATGGCCCCCTCCTCACCAGCAGCCCCCCCCCCCGGAGGAGAGTTGCCCCAGGTTTAGCCTGTGCAGAGCAGAGCAGCCAAGGACATGGCAGCTGGGCAGTGGGGACAAGACTCTGCCCTCGTGCCCTGTCGCATACAGATGATGGGGGGCGCGGACAGAGGGTGTGGCTGCCATGATGCTGGGCCGCCTGGGCGATCTGTTGGTGGGCTGTGGACGTAGTGGGTGACCCTGCGGGCAGGAAACGCGGGGACGGGGCAGGGGCGAGGTGGTTTTGGGGCACTTGGTCTCTAAAAGGTTCGCCATCACTGGTATAGGGAATGAGTACACCTTTGGGAGACCCAAAAGGTTGGGCTAGAGACAGATCCTCCAGGAGAAAAATATATGAGTTGATACCAACATGATGGCGGGTAAGCAGTTTTGTTTCAATTAGGCTGAAACTGTGTCTTTTCCAGTGGTGGGATTCAGCCAGTTCACACCAGTACTGGCAGAACCGGTAGCTACCGTAATTTTTTGGTTGCCCAGGCCCAGAATGGACTTCCGGAAGCGGCATCCAGACAGAGAACTGGTTGTTCACATATTTGAATCCCACCACTGGTCTTTTCCAATTGAAAGCACAGTATAAACTGCTTGTTGTTTTGTCTTCTAGCCTCGACCAGGAAAGTTGTTGCTTACAGATGAACTCCAATGGGCAGATGGATTTGTTGTGGTCTATGACATCAGTGACAGAACTTCATTTGCTTTCGCAAAAGCATTGCTATATCGGATCCGTGAATGTCATGCCGGAACTTGCAGAAGGCAAGTTAGCTAGCGACTGTGACTAGGAAAATGGAAAATTGGTGTGGATCGTAAGCGAAATGGGGCTAGATTCAGACTTGATCCCTTTAAGGCAGGGGTGGGGAACCACGGCCCTTTTATGACTTGTGGACTTCAATTCCTGCTTCACTTAAGGTCGGGATAACCCACCCCTGCTTTAAGTGAAGACCCAATAAAAGCCAGGAGCAATGAGTCCAATTCATTGCAGTGCATCTACCTAGTTTGATGCAGCCAATCCTCTTCTTACTCACAGACCTACCAAATAGGAATTGTGCATAGTTTAAAAATCAGTTTATTAGGGTCAGCTTATCTACGGTGCTGGATCAAGCTACTGTACCTCAGAGTAAGTTTTATTGAACCGGGTGACATTTATAACTATCAGCCAGCTGAAATTCAATCTCCGCTTTTAATTGCAGTGTGGGAAAGAAATTGCTATTATGAAGGATGATCCCCATCCAATAAAAGCAACTCTCCAATGACCGGTTATTTTTTACAACCTTTGTCTTCATATATGTGAATCTGTCACCATCGATAGTCCACTGTGAAAAGTTCGTGTTTGTAGAGAAAATGGCCAGCAGTTGCTCATATTTCACCCTCCTTGTTTAAAAAGCAAACAAGCACTAGGGATCAATCAGGGTTCCAATAGAAACATTTTAGAATTTTGCCAAAACAGTTTCCCAAACAGTTCTTTTGAAATCAGAATAATTCCATTGTGTTAAAAATATAGGCTGGTCCTTTAGAGAAGACACTTTATTCTTTGTTGATTTTTAACTTACTGAATATGATATAAATGGAAAACATTTTTTTTTAAAAAGAGGGGGATGTATAAATTACATAGATGAGCTCAACTGGCGCATCAGTATACAAACACACACTCCCTTCTATCAAACAATGTCATCTGGGAGGACCCAGGACTCGTGTCTTCTCTGTAGTGGTGTCTGCCTTATGGAAAGGCCTCCCTTTTGAGATTTGGGAAGCTTCTACTCTATTTGTCCTCTATCGCCCCTCCCTCCCTCCCTCTCTCTCTCTCATCTGTTCATATGTTCATATTAGTAAAGTTGGAAGGGACCTTGGAGGTCATCTAGTCCAACCCCCTGCTCGGGCAGGAAACCCTACACCATTTCGGACAAGTGGCTGTCCAGACTCTTCTTAAAAACTTCCAGTGTTGGAGCATTTACTGCTTCTGGAGGCAAGCTGTTCCACTGATTAATTGTTCTAACTGTCAGGAAGTTTCTCCTTAGTTCGAGGTTGCTTCTCTCCTTGATTAGTTTCCACCCGTTGCTTCTTGTCCTGCCTTCAGGTGCTTTGGAAAATAGCTTAATTCCCTCTTCTTTATGGCAGCCCCATCTATCAATCATCTATTTATCATTTATCTATCTATCTAATCTATCATCTATCAATCATCTATATCATCTATCTAATCTATCATCTATCAATCCTATCTATCTATCTATCTATCTATCTATCTATCTATCTATATCATCTATCATCTATCCTATCAATATCTATATCAATCATCTATCATCTATCATCTATCAATCATCTATATCTCTATTAATCATTTATCTCATCTATCATCTATCAATCATCTATCTATTAATCATCTATTATCTATCTATCTATCTCTATTAATCATCTATATCTATCTATCTATCATCTATTAATCATCTCTCTCTTCTCTCATCTCCCTCTCATCTCTGTCCATCATCTCACAACTAGAAAGTTGTGAAGACCTGGCTGTTTCTTCCTGCTCTGGACCGGGATGTGGGCTGAGCCCAATACACGTGCAGTTGGTGGAAATTGCACCTTGATTAGAGTGCGATGACCCTTGATTTTGTGAGATTTGAATTTGTATCTTTTAATGTATTTACTGTTTCGATGCTCAAGGTTGAATTGTACAGACAGTTCTCAAGTTATGGCCATAATGGAGCCTGCCCATCCCAGTTGTAAAACAGCGTGGTTGTTAAGTGGACCAGTGGCTTGCTATAGCTGCGGTTCTGCTGAAAACTGGAAGTAAATAACAATTTTTGGCAAAACCATCATCAAGTACAATTGCACAACCATGGGACACTGCAAACAGCCATCCCTACGGCCGAGTTGCTGAGCACTTGACATGCTGTCATGTGATGATAGGGATTGTACATACCGGGGTAGGGGCCATTGGAACTTTGAACAGGTGCTAAGCAACTGGTCGTAAGTTGAGAACTACCTGTATAAGATAGTGTTTTAATATAAATGGTTTAACTAAATAAAAATATATTGCCTCTTGTACAATTTACACGTGATCTAACATTTTATTTATTTATTTATTTATGAGACTTATATACCGCTTTTAAGTGCAAGCACTCTCTAAGCGGTGTACACCAGTAAGCAATGTATATATATATATATTTACATTGCCCCCAACAATCTGGGTCCTCATTTTACCTACCTCGGAAGGATGGAAGGCTGAGTCAACCTTGAGCCGGTGAGATTTGAACCGGTGACCTGCTGAACACAGTCAGCTAAAGTGGCCTGCAGTACTGCACTCTAACTGCTGCGCCACCTCGGCTCACCTCGGTTAAAAAAATTAACAGAAGTAACTGATGTAAACACGAGCTAAGCGGAAGAAAGTTCCTTGTTTATAATTTTCCTTTTGTCTACGTTTTTCCAGAGCCTCAGAGTGCACCGTGTTTCTGGTTGGGAACAAACAGGATTTGTGCCACATACGAGAAGTTGGTTGGGATGAAGGACAGAAGTTGGCCTTGGATTACAGATGCCAGTTTTGTGAACTGTCAGCTGCGGAACAATGCCAGGAAGTGGGAACGATGTTCATCCAAGCTTTGAGAAGCCTCATGGCTCATCCCAAGGGGAAGGAGAAGAGACGGCCCAGCGGCTCAAAATCCATGGCCAAATTGATTAATAACATGTTTGGAAAGAGGAGAAAGTCTGTTTAGTGAGAGGCCCACCAGAAATGGGAAGGGAGCCATGACACGGTCTCTCTCACACATATGCACACACATGCACAAAGGATCTAGTCCACATGAAGATCTTAGCATGTCATACAAGGAAGCCATAGAAGTGACTGGCATATTCCCACCCGGCATGGCAAAATCATTGCTTAAATCTAGCCTTTTGATAACTCCTCTGGGAATATAGTTTTGTATGGAGCAGGTTGACTTTAGAACATACTAAAGTTCTGTATATGGTTATTAAGGAGTGAGTTGTAAGTTCGTCGCTAATAACCTTAAATGGATCCAGGCAGGCAATATGTATAAGGCCAGGAAAACTATGTGGTGCAGTGCCTACATCAGTGTTTCCCATGCTTAGCCATTTTTAAGATATGTGGACTTCAACTCCCAGAACACCCTAGCCAGCATTCCAATGCTGCCTGGAGTATTCTGGGAGTTGAAGTCCACCTATCTTAAAAAATTGGTCTAAATCAGTGTTTCTCAACCTTGACAATTTTAAGGCATGTGGACTTCAACTCCCAGAATTCCACAGCCAGCAATGCTGGCTGTGGAATTCTGGGAGTTGAAGTCCACATGCCTTAAAATTGTCAAGGTTGAGAAACACTGGCTAAATTATGGTATTGATTTCAACAACAACAAAACTCTTTTGGCCTGGGAGAAAGGAAGGTAGGCCAACATTTACAACTGGGAAAGGATTACCCACAATGCCAGAAAGCAGGAGGGAAGGAAAATCTTGAACTATTAGCATTTTTTCCAGAAGTGATATTAAACTCGTATCAATTTAAGCAGGTGCTTTCCTGGCTACCGTTCCTTTCCTTAGATAGCTTGGAACAGGAAAAGATTAAAATCTGAAGTCGTATCAGCTAATTCGTTTTTCCAGCTTTTGGCTACAATCCTGTGACAGCCCCACCTGATCAGCTTTTCCTTCTAATATATTTTAGTGCCTTTTTACCACTTAAGTGTAGAGTCAGGGGCTTCTTGCTCAGGCCGGCCTTACACTAAATATTGTAAAACCACTGGGAGGCTGATGGCTTTTTAGGTAAATGGGGGGGGGCAGAATATAAGCATATCGCTGAATACGTTTGTGGAAAATTTAATCTCCACCTCTCGCTGTTTTTTCTGCTTATGGGTAACATGAACGGGAGGATGTAAAAATGCATTTGGAAATGTGAACGCTCTTTTGCTCTCCAAAATATGCAACTCTCAACAGCTGCCCAGAAGCATCGCTTGATGGGTGAGCTGGGCAGCTTATTAATTTAATAAATAAATAATACAAATATCTCGGCTCTTTGAGGTGGCAGCATTCCAACTTATGTCGTTCGAGAAAGTGGGGGGGGGAGCAGCTTCAGCACGAAATGGCAAAGTATATTTTTGGTTCATTTTCTCTCTTACACAGTTTTTTTTTTCTACAGTGAAACCAGTCAAGGGATGCATCTTTTAGGAGTTGTTGATTTCTCATTATGGGTTTTGGAGTTATTGCTTTCTGTTGAGTCAGCCCAGGCTGATGCGGAGATCAAAGCAATCTAAGGCAGCTAGTTTCCAAGGCATGAATCAACAAGAGGTTTGACACAGAAATTCAAGCAAATAAAAAAAAAAAGTCAACATGGTGTACTTGACTGATCTAAGAGGCATCACTCCCAACACACCCACCCTTAGCAGGCTACTGTTGTTATGGTCTTCTTCCAAGAGTTGAGAATGGTCCAAAGTTACCCAACTCGCTTCTTGCCTAAGCAAAAGTAAAACAGTCCCCCAGTTCCAAGCTTTTGTGACTTTAACCATTAGACCAGGGGTAGGCAATCTTGGCTCTTTTATGACTCGTGGACTTCAACTCCCAGAATTCCTGAGCCAGCCATGCTGAGGAGAAAGGGAGAGGTTTCCATGCTGAGCCATGCTGGCTCAGGAATTCTGGGAGTTGAAGTCCACGAGTCATAAAAGAGCCAAGGTTGCCTACCCCTGATCTAGATCAAAGGTAGGCAACCTTGGCTCTTTTATGACTCCCAGAATTCCTGAGCCAGCCATGCTGAGGGGAAAGGGAGAGATTTCCATGCTGAGCCATGCTGGCTCAGGAATTCTGGGAGTTGAAGTCCACGAGTCATAAAAGAGCCAAGGTTGCCTACCCCTGCCCTAGACAAAAGTTTCTCACTGCTTAACAACATACAACCGTTGCTGACAATTTTATGTCTGCTGGTGAGAGGAGATGTCAGACCAAAGAAAACATTTTCATCAGCAGTTGATGGCAATTCACAGTTCATGATGTTATGCTGCCTTCCCTGCATAAAACAGCAATATGCATTGGGAGCCATTCTATTCACTCAGCACTGAGAGACTTATACGTGTCCCAGGAAACAGAATAAAACTATCTCCTTATTTTAAGTTTCGAAAAAGAATGTTTTATGTCTTTTAATGTCATGTCTCTAGATTTGCTGATAGATGTTACAATGAACAGGTCTTTTGCATCAGCTGTGTAGCAACTGTGATCTTTTCTGAGCCGGTCTAATTTTGCAGAGGAATTTTGCAATTTGGCAATCATTAGGTTCGATCCTCTTGGTGGCTGTAACATAGAGGGAGTTGAAGTCCACAAGTCTTAAAAGTGCCAAGTTTGAAGACGCCTGAGCTAGCTGGTAGTGGTGCATATTAATAAACATGGATAAATTCATCATACATTTGTCAGTGCAATGGGAAAGTGATACAGCAAAGGAAAAGCCACCAAAGAAATTAAAACTGGTACTTTTTTCCTACAGTTTGTAATATTTTATTAGATTATAGAATAAAATATAAAAATATAAAAGCAAATAGTAGGACACAATGGGGAGGAAAAAGTGAGGGGGAGAAGGGAAAAAGAACAGACTTCCTCTATTACAGTAGAAGGAAACATTAACATTAAACCTCAACGTTTTACTTTTCCATAATATTATAAATTAGCCATTTCTATAACAACAAATGAATCTAATCAGTAAAACCCAAAACCCCCTCCTTTTTTTTAGTCATCAATTTTTGACACCTTGCTAAGCACTGGTGGTACTCAAATATTATCATGTCCTAAAAGTGGTACAATCTGTGATAAGGTTGAAAAGCCCTGACATAGACAATAGAAGTCCACCCTTGGAAAATGTCTAGAAGTTGCAATTGGTATAAAATAGGGCAGATCCACAGATGCCCATAGAAAGGTGACGACCAATAATCAGCAAGTTGCCAACAGTAGTGTTGTGGCTGAAGCCCTGGCCTTTTTGTATATGCATGCAATATTTCAAGATGTACAAAAAAGGAGCATAGCTTTGATTGCAATACAAAGCCATCATCTTGCTGATTTTGTTGCACTTATACTGGTTCTGCTAGTTCGTACCCTAATATGTCACCTTCAAAGCTCTACAAGGCTTAGGACCAGGTTATTTTGAAGGACCATCTTTTCCTGATCATATCTACCTGACCCACAAGAGTGGAGAAATGGGGAATGCTATGGGTCCTCTCTCCTAAGAAAGTCCATCTAATGGGACCAAGAAGAAGGGCCTTCTCCACAGTGGCTCCCTCCCTATGAAACATCATCCCCATGGAGATAGGATTGCCCCCCACTATGACACTTTTTCAAAGGGCTCTGAAAATCTGGTTTCGTCAACAGGCCTGGGGACCCCAGAGTGGATGGAGCCTATCAAATGGCACATTCAATTGTGGTTGCCAAGGGCTTGTGGGATTAACAGAATAACAGAGTTGGAAGGGACCTTGGAGGTCTTCTAGTCCAGGGGTGTCAAATTCGCAACGTCACATGATGTGTCATGATGTATCGCAATTTTTTTCCCATTGACGGCAATGTGTGGCATGATGCATCCGGCCCGCAATTTGACACCCTTGTTCTACTCCCTGCTCAAGCAGGAAACCCTATAACAGTGATGGTGAACCTTTTAGAGACTGAGTGCCCAAACTGCAACCCAAAACCCACTTATGCATCGTCGAGTGCCAGGTGGGTGTGGCCCATTGGGTGGGCGTGACCCATTGGGTGGGCATGGCTGCAGTGGTAACAGCAGACTGGGTGGGACTAAAAAGTTCAATCAATCAATTTCAACTTTGCAAGATCTTTTTTTTTCCCCACAAGAAGTTGAAATTGACTGATTGAACCTTTTTTTATTTTTGCACACGGCGACGGAGGTCTAAAGCGAAAAGGTTTTATAAAACCCAGCTGAAGGCCTAGGACTGCGTGCCCCCTCTGGCACCCGTGCCATAGGTTCGCCACTATTGCCCTATAACATTTCAGACAAATGGTTGTCCATCCAGACCACTGCCACTGTTCAGACTTGATAAAAACAACCCATAAAAATAGCCCAGTGTAAAAGTATATCCAGAAGTGAAAGTATACTCAGAAGTATGTCCAGAACCTAACAATGATGATGTTACCTAGCTGGGTGGTGAAACATCGGCAAGAAGTTTGCTTTTTATTGTTTTACATAGAATTTTTATCCTTGTAAGTAAGGTGACCAACTTTTTTACAGTGAAAAGGAGGACACAAATAAATTAAAGAAAAAATATCGTAAATAAAAGAAACATTTTATTCATTGCAACAATAATACAGACAACTTGTATGTGCAAAGTTTGCCAGCCAGGTGTTTTGGCGCACTCAGCAGCAATTCCTATTGGCTTTCGAAAGCCAATAGGGGGAGTAGCACAGTTCATTCAAAAGTTGAAAACAAAACCCATCAAAAAAAGGTGCCGGAACGCCGTTCTGAGCATTCTATGAGGGAAAAAAAAAGCCCTGCAGATTAGTCTTCAAATATCGAAAAGGAGGACATGAAGGAGGACACTTTTTGAGGGAGGACAGAACTTACAAAAGGAGGACTGTCCTCCTTAAAGGAGGACGGCTGGTCACCTTATTGTAAGCCACTCAGAGTCACTGAGAGTTGGGCAGCCATATAAATTTTCTTAATCAAACAAACAAGGGACTGCCTTTCCCTTCGCTGTTAAGATCAGAAGATATTCTTTGTGTTTTCTATTTAGTCAATAAAAATGAATTTTAAGAAGAGAAGAAACAAAAGTAGAATAGCTGCTTCCCACTTATATCAACAAGAGGAGTGAGGCTATTCCTGCTTCTTTTTTTTTTTTCTCAGCAGATGGATATCCAGCTTGATGGTGGGCAGTTTTTGCATAAGGTCAAGAACTAGAGGACATGACAGGGGCTGATTGCCTGCAAAGCTGCAAGCAGGTGCCAGCCAACTATTGATGTCCCAGGGACGTAGCCAAAAAGCATGCATTATCAGATTATAACTTCGTAACTCAACAAAGACCATTCTAAAACTGTCAGAGTAATCATCCCAAACCAACAAGCAAAGAAATAAAAAGTTTCTGAGCTTTACAATACCCTTTCCCAAACATTCTGCCTCTCTTATGTTAGTACTGACATTCCTTTTGCAGTCCTAGGAAGAGAATATCTGTAGCTCACAGCTGAGTTGTGGAGTCCCTGATGCTCTTTCAGCTTGGTTGTTTGCATGCAGATGTTTTGTTATTTGACTAGATAACACTGAA